TTTACCCTTCTGACTGGAGTGAGATGAAATCTCAATGTAGTTTTCATTTGCATTTCTCTAATTGTTAGAGATGTTGAACATTTTTTCATACATTTGTTGACCAATCATATTTCTTCTTTCATGAAGTGTCTGTTCAGTTCCTTTGCCCATTTATAGATTTGGTGATTTGTTTTTTGTTTGTTTGTTGGGTGTTATGTTTTTTTAAATTCTTTATATATCCTAGAAATTAATACTTGCACATGGCAAAGATTTTCTCCCATTTGGTAGGCTCTCTATTCACATTCTTGATTGTTTCCTTTGCTGTGAAGCTTTTTAGTTTGATACAGTCCCATTTATTGATTCTTGGTTTTGCTTCTTGTGCTTTAGGAGTCTTATTAAGAAGTTGGTTTCTAAGCTGACTTGATGGAGAGTTGGGGCTACTTTTTCTTCTAGTAGGCTCAGGGTCTCTGGTCTAATGCCAAGGTCCTTGATCCACTTTGAGTTGAGTTTTGTACAGGGTGAGAGATAGGGGTCTAATTTTATTTTGCTACATATGGATTTTTAGTTTTCCCAGCACTGTTTGTTGAAGAGGCTATCTTTCCTCCAACATATGTTTATGACACTTTTGTCTAGTATGAGATAACTGTATTTATGTGGGTTTGTCTCTGTGCCTTCCTGAGCAGACAAGTTTTGAAAGAATAACTTTTACTATTGTGTGGGAAATAGATGTGTGATAGGGGACACAGAAGAAGGGAACAAGCTATGAAACTTACAGCAAATCCAGCAAGAGAGGTTGGCAGCTCAGACCAAGGAGGTGACAATGAGTGGGGTTTGGGTCACAGATCTATCTGAAGTTAGAGTCAACAGAATTTCTGGATGGGTTAGATGTGTGATGCGAGAAAAAGAAGAGTCAAAAAATAGTGGAAAGAGTTGGAAGACCTCTGCAATGAAAATTATAGAATAGAGAAGAATGAAATTGAAAAAGACCTTAGAATATGAAAAGACTTCCCATCTCCTTGGATAGGCAAAATTAATATTGTCAAGATGACCATACTACCAAAAGCAATCTACAGATTCACTGGGATCACCATCAAAATACTAGTGACATTCTTCACAGAGCTAGGAAAAAAATGTCCTAAAACTCACACAGAATAATAAAAGACCCAGAATAGCCAGAGCACTCCTGATCAAGAAGAATGATGCTAGAGATATCATGACACTGGATCTCAAATGATACTACAGAGCTATAGTAACAAAATGAGCATGGTATTGGGATTAAAACAGACATGAAGACCAATGGAATAGTAGAAGACACAGGCAAACCTATGTAGATACAGTCATTTGATCCTTGAAGAAGATGCAATATATATATATATATATATGCTGGTGAAAAAAAACCAACCTTTTAAACAAATGGTGCTAGGAACATTGGATATTCATATGTAGAAAAATGAAACTATAATCCAGTCTCTCACCCTGTACAAAAAAATCAACTCAAAATAGGTCAAAGATAAACCAGAAACACTATAACTGCTACAAGAAAACAGAGAGCCAACACTCCAACTTATAGGTGCAGACTCTGACTTTGTTAATAAAGTCAGAGAAAGCTTGAGAAATAAAACCAAGAATCAATAAGTGAGATGGCATCAAAAGAGCCAAGAGTGTGAAGAGAGATCCTACAGAATGGGAGAAAATCTTTGCCAGCTCTACTTCTGATGAGATTCATATCCGGAACTAAAAAAATTTAACACCAAAAAAAAAAAAAAGAGAGAGAGAGAAAGAAACAAAGAAAGAAAACCCAATCAATAAATGGGCAAATGAACTTAGTGGACATTTCTCTAAAGAAGAAATGCGAATAGTTAATATATATATGAAAAAACGTTGACTATCTTTAGAGTCAAGGAAATGCAAATCAAAACTACACTGAGAATTCATTTCACTACAGTTAGAATGGCAATCATCCAGGATACTAATTACAATAAATGCTGGTAAATATGGGGGGGCAGGTATTCTCAAACATTGTTGGTAGGATTGCAAATTAGTACACTCACTTTGGAAAGTAGTATGAATATCCTTCAAAAAGAATAGGAATGGACCTATCATAAGGCCTAGCTATACCAATTTGGTATTTATCCCAAAGAACTAAAATCAGCCTACTATAGTGATACCCACATACTAATGTTTATAGCAGTGCATGGAACCAGCCTCAGTGTCCCTCAATAGATGAATGGATAAATGTAGTATATATATACTCAGCCATAAAGAAGAATGAAATCATATAATTTGCTGGTAAATGAATGGAACTAAAGAACATCATGCTAAGGGGAAGTAAACCAGATTCAGAAAGTCAAACTTAGACCAGAGAGAGATCTAAGCTGGAAATAAAACTTGTGAAGTCATCCACATAAGGATGTGATTTAAATTGTGATTCTGGAAGCAAACACCAAGGGACTGTGTACAGAAATGAAGGGGACCAAGGACTGAGCCCTATAATTCCTCATGGAAAAATTGAGCAGAAGAGAAGGGACCAGCAGAGGAAACTGGACAGAAATGTGTCCTGGAAGCCTAGAGAAGAAAGCACAGAGGAGAAAGAAAGAAGAAAGACATCTCAGTGCTCTGACAGGTCATGATGGGGGCTGCAAACCGGGACATTTTCCAATTTTGTGGTCACTGGTAACCTAGACCAGAGCTGTTTGGGAAGGAGGTGGGGAGTGTGACATACAGCTGATCAAAATAAACTTACAAAGAATGGAAGGGGAAGAATTGGAGAACTAAGTAAAGGGTTTGTGTTTGATTTTTAAAATAGGAGAAATGACAATATATTTTATGCCGTTGGGAATGATCTAGTACAGAGTGAGAGTGTGACATTGTAGGAGGAACATCTTGGAGTGGTGCTGCCCTGTGTCTACTTTCACTGTAAGGAGGCTTGCTTTCCTCCTCTTCCCACCTGTACATGGGCATAAGTGGCAGAGATGGTGGTGTGGGGGGAAGCCATCAGTCTTCTAAGTTGGCTTTCAGTGTGACCCCTTCCTCCCTATCTTGCTATTTGGCCTGGGAACCCCAGGGGGTGAGAGAGTAGGAATCACACCAACCAACACTTAGCTTAAGTATGAATAAGAATTACTGTTGTATCATGACTATCATGCTCAGGGGATTAACATAATGAATAAGAATTAATTCATTCAAATAAGGATGGCTGCCCCATCCTTATTTACACTGTACAAAAGAATCCTACATGTTAGTGGATAAACACTGCCTCCAGTTACTAGCGGAGCCTGATGTTCCCCTTCTTGCTAACTCCCAGAGAACTTGGCAGCCTGACTTGAAAGCAGCCAGGGATCGCAGAGGCAAGGGTGTCAGAAAGTAGAGACATGATGCCTCCTGCCACTGACTGACACGCACCTCGGGAGGAGTCACTCTTCATTTAGGGAGAGAATCTCAAAGATGAATGGTACCTGCCAAGAGAAGCTCCAGACCAGTCATTGAATGAATCCATTTCACTTTTAATTTTAGAAGGAAACCATCAGGAAGAGTGGCAATAAAATCATAAAAAAAAATTCCTAGTATTTTTTTTCACTGATTGGAAAAAGAAGCATTGTGGAAATGTCCTTCCAGTGCCCTTTTTTCACATCATCCTACAATGAGTGACTTCTGAGTTCCCTAAGTATTGGGACTTTGAAATATCTTTCCATCAAAATGCGTTATTCTTTCTGTGACCCATCCCTCTCTATTTCATTCTTGTTAGAAATAGATTTTCAGTTTTACACTAAAGGCACATTAAGTTTTGAAATGGTAAAACCACGTGCTCTCTTTGTGCAAGTGGCAATTTTATACCTCAGGAGATTTGTCAATCCCCTGAGCAGGATAGTCACTGATACAAAATTAAAATCCACTATTCCAAATCATTAAGATGGACCTCTTGAGGGGGAAGGTAAAAACAATGCTGATTTTTGTCTTTCCTGTCCTGCTTCTCTTCTGTCCTGTTATGTAATTGGTAAGAACACTGGATAGATTGTGAGCTTTGGATCTGTAGAATGAAGTATGGTGGTCCTTTTGTTTTAAGCAGCTGCTCCAATGTCTAATAGCATTTGATAAGGAAATTGGAATTCTTACAATACATGCATGATGTGAAAACACCAAGAATTAATCCAGAAATGAGTATAGGAGAATCTGTGAATTGCCTGTCACTCACAACACCCTTTGCCTCAGTTTCCTCTTTCCTGTGGTAGGATCATCATGTTACAGGGCCCTTGCAGGATGGTAGATGTTATGTGAACAGCCAATGCTATTAATGACGCCAGCAACCTCCCCTCACACTTGGACCTGTCTGCACCCTCTATGTCCCCTTGTTGCTTTGGCCCCCCTCATTTTTGTACTTGCCCATCAGTTTTTTGTATTTAAAGACCACTCTGTACAAAAGCCTGTGATCATAGGAGCAGCCCTGAATCTTCACACCCACCCCCGCTGGCTGGAGTCAATATTCTGATTCAGTGTTGTTTCTAAAACCAGTTTGATTTATACCTTCCCTATTACATTGTGTTTTTCTTCCATAGCCACATACAGGTCATGCCCCAACTGGTCACTGCATGGTTCTTCATTAGACTGGTTTGGGTTTTATAAGGTGTTAGAATTTTTGAATGAGCTCATAAGGTCCCTCACGTGTGAGTTTATGCCAGAGAAGTTATGGAATGATTAACTTAATAGATGCTGTTAATTCCCAAAAATGACCAGCTTTATTCATACTTAAGCTAAGTGTTGGTAGTTAACAAACAATTCTTTGTAAATTGTGATTGCAGAACCAGGCAATTTTATGACTTTTTTTTCCCTAGCAGTATAAATGATTGGGTAGCTCATTAAGTTTACCATGTTGAATGAAAGCCTCCCTACTCAAAGGATGGTGAAGATGGAGAGAGAAGGAATGATTAAAGGGGATCTTTAAGAGAAAAAAAAAGTAGCCCTAGCATATCAGAATGTACAATTAATTTTCCCTAATTGTTCCTTTTCTGCATTTTCCCCTGCAGAGCTGCTCAGAAGTTAAATCTGTCTTCCAAAAAGAAGAAACATCGACCTTCTACTTCTTCTGTTGCTGAGACACCTCTCTTTGCCACCAGCTTCAGTGGGATTCTGCAGACCTCCCCTCCCCCAGCCCCACCCTGTCTGCTGAGGGCTGTCAACAAGGTGAAGGACACTCCAGGCCTGGGCAAGGTAGGCACCTCTTCACCATCTGCTCAGTGTGGGGTTTTGGATCAAGTTTGGGAAAGAAGAAAACAAGGGTTCCAATTTGTTAAAATACCAAGATACCATGGACAAAAGGAGACAGAATGAAATTGATTTGGAGGTAATAGTTGTTCCCCCTTTATCTATGGTTTCGTTTTCTGCTTTTTTAGTTACCCATGATCAACTTCAGTCCAAAAATATTATGTGGAAAATTCTAGAAATAGAAGGTTATTATAGTTTTAAATAAATTTTATTAGTTATAAAGTTATAGTTGTTCTATTTTATTATCATTGTTGATCTCTTACAGTGTCCAATTTGTAAATTAAACTTTATTATAGTATATACAGGGTTTGGTACTATTTGCAGTTTGGGGCATCCACAGAATGTCTTGGAACACATCCCTCACACCTAAGGGAGAACTAGATGTGACATTCAGCTTTTTATTGTTGTAACTAAAATACCTGGCAAGAACACTTTAGAGGAGGAAAAGTTTATTTTGGCTTACAGTTTCAGAGGTTCAGTCCATGGATTAGCTGACTGTCACTGTGGGCCTGAGGCGAGGCAGAATATCGTGGTGAAAGGGTATGGTGGAGGAAAGCTGCTCAAAAAACCCACAAAGGCATGCCCCTCAATGACCTCCTTCCTCCAGCCACACCCACCTGCCCATAGTTATCCCCCGGTACAGTAGTCCTTTCAAATTACTAGTCCATCAAATGTATTAATCCACTGATTCGGTTACATAATCTAGTCATTTCACCTCTGAGCATTCCTGCATTGTCCCACACATGAACTTTCAAGAGACACCTCAAATTCAAACCATATCACTCTCTACTATAAAATTTTCTGGTTACATAAATTAAATAAGACATTCAAATTGTTGGAGACCTGATTTGATTTTGGTGGGGAGAAAAATGGCTTTGCATTACTTGACAGAATTATAGGCATTTGAAGAAAAAGACACAAAAGAGAGGCAGAGTCAGGAGACCCAGAGTAGATGAGGTCTAGGAAAATGACATAAAGGCACTTCATAATTTCCCTGTGGCAGTTTTGTGGGTTTTTTTTCTCCCCTTCAGAGAAATCATGACCTCTGCATCTGAACCAGACCACCAATGGGATTTCTGGGAAACATTTTCGGTCATGCCTTTCTAGCGAGAAATGCAATTTTGCATTGTTACAAAGACTTAGAAAGACATGTAGGAATTCTCTTATAAGATGCCACTTTGCTACGTTTGGGATAACTCTATTTTTAAGTGTCATCTCTAGGCCTTTTCTTTCTTTTGAGTTAAATGTATGAGTGAAGTAACTCACAGCTTCTTTGGTAGGTAAATAAGTTGGGACTTGTGAAAACATTGAGCTGATGAAAAAAGGGGCAAAACTTTTTTGGGGGGGTCACAAGTCAATTGATGCACACTACCTGGTGACCTGACTTTGGCCTTGGGCTTCATTTTGGAAAGTTTCTGTTTGTGTTAGCTTTTTATCCCTGTGACAAAATACCTGAGGAACAACAACTTAGAGGAGAAAAGACTTATTTTGGCTCATGGTTTCAGAGGGTCCGTGGTGGGCTAACTCCATTGCTTTGGGTCTGAGGCGAGGCAGAACATCATGGTTGAAGGGTGTGGTCCAGGAAAGCTGCTCTTCCCAAGAGAGGCACAAAGCAAGGATGGGGGTAGAGGCAAGATCCACCCTTCAAGGGCTTGTCCCCAGTCACCCACTTCCTCCAAGTAGGTCCTTCCTCCTACAAGTTTCCCACTCCCATTAAGCCATTCAATTATAAACTCATCAGTGGATTAATTCCTTGATTAGAACAGAGCCCTCATGATCTAATCACCTCCCCAAAGCCCTGCTTCTTTCACATTGCTGCATTGGGGACCAAGCCTTCAATACAGGAGCTTTGAGGCACAGTCCAGATCCAAACTATAATGTTGGTCTTGCTGAAGGGGACAGCAGCTAAACTGTACAGACAGATTTTACTAGTTCATATCACAGACTTCCTGTTCCCTTTACACTCAAATATGTTCATATCCAGGTTTATGGTCTTCAGAAGGCTGCTGTCCCCCCAGTGTTGACCCTGGCATCTGTTGCCCCTTCTTCCTTTGTTCTCTTCCTCACTCTCCATTTCTCCTGTCTCTTTCCATTTCTCCCACCCCAGTCTCACCATCTCCTTGGGAAAGTCTTAACTTCATGACACTCTTTCCAAAAGTGTTTAAATTTTGAGATCAGGTTGGATCAAGCAATGGTTCCTCTAATAGAAGACACCCAGTTCTGGAATTGGACAGGGCAGATAGTTGTTGGCTGAAGACTTTCCCAGGACCTGAGGTAAATTCCCACCTGAGCAGCTGGGGAAGGCTGGTGGCGTTCCCACTGGGGAGCACAGGGATCATATGGAATGATAACAGCTAAGGACTGTGGGTCTCTTTAACTACAGAGCCCACCTTTTAATTGGGTAAAAAGCACACAGCATGTAATTTACCATCTTAGCCATTTTTAAGTGTGCATGGGCTTTTATTTGATAAGAGTTCAGAACATTAGTGCTGACAGTTACTGTCCTGGACAAAGGGAAAGCCAGCCACCATTCCATATCCTGCTCCCAGCTCCAAACATCGTCCCCCTCCTCTTCTGAATAAGCATGAACAAATAAGTACATGACATCCCTTTTATGAGAGGCACCAGATTACTGGCCAGTGTGGGGCACTCATATAACTCCACATGGCCTTGTTCAAGACACCTCAAAATGAACTACATTGGAACTGTCTTCCTGTCACACTGGCCTACAAGGTCTGATGTGGATGCACCTTCAGTTGGGTCTGGGCCCCAAGCCTAAGGCCTTTGTTCTCTTCTTCCTCATCCTTAAGGTCCTCCCTAGAATTCTGACAAGGGAATAAGGCTAGGGACAAACACAGAGAAGTGTTGACCCAGCATTTTCATAAAAATAGTTGGAGGATAAAGGGCACTGGTTTAATCTTGATTTCATGATGTACCACTGTAGCAACCAGGTGTGAGGGGCCTTACAATGAATAGTTGTACTCAGTAATAAACTAAGGTTCGTAGATTTTACATTTGTTTGTTTAAAATTTAAACTGTGATCTCCCTTACTCATTCTCAGTTCTAAATGCAATCAAAGCCTTGAGTTTGTCCATGGAAGTGTATCATGGATGAGAGCATCAGCCTGGGGATCACAGAAGGTGACCACTAGATACATGGCAGCTGAATCTACCCTCCTGTCCTGCTGAGCCTTCACGGATAGGGTGTGGGGTGTGACAGTCAGAGGGAATGTGTTCTCTGGAAGATACGAGTAGCCATATACTTGTTACATTAAATGTGTACTTTCATTAAAACAAGAAGTTATCAAGCATACGTTTGATCTTGCTTCTTCCTGCTTAAAGAGTGTCTGGTTTTTGTAGCCAGGCACAATGGTGCATGCCTGTAATCCCAGCAGCTCAGGAGGCTGAGACTGGAGGATTGTGAGTTTAGGGCCAGCCTCAGCAACAGGGAGACACTAAGCAACTCAGTGAGACCCTGTCTCTAGATAAAAAATACAAAATAGGGCTGGGAATGTGGCTCAGTGGGAGAGTGCCCCTGAGTTCAATCCCCGGTACCCACCATTCCCCAAAAAAGAGTGTCTGGCTTTCACAGTGGCAGCAGTTTTTACTCTACCATGCCACTGAGGTGTCCAACTGCCTGACCCATTTTCTCAGACTCTGGCTTTGTCCACCTCCACTGATATCTCACTATAATTAGGACCTGCAGCTTTCTTTACCCATGTGGAAAAAAATTCCATCCATTTATCTCTGTTGCATAATTTACATTTTAATACCTCAAAGAAACACAGTGGAGTTTAATATAGAACATAAATAATTGGCACTATTTATAATTTGGCAAGTTTGAAGTAGCCGAGCTTGATTGAATTGCCCAAAGTAATTTGACTTTTTAAACTTAAGCTGGGGCCTTCTGGGGTGGGGGTGGGGAGAACGAGGGGGCAGCCTAACAACTGCCTATTAAACCCTAACGACCCAGGATCTCACTCTGGAAACCTGGGAGGTTTCCACAGGCCTGGCAAGGACTTTAGGGATTTATCTAGAAGAGCAATCCTCTTATTTAGTAAACAAGAAAACTGAGGCCCAGTAAGGGTGAGAGATTGGCTGGTGGACTCTAAACTCAGGGATGGAAGTCAAGATCTTTATGGTGTCATATTTGCTACCATTTCACCGGAGTGCCAATGGATATAAGTGACTTTTTAAAATCTTGGGTGGAGACAAGAAGGCTCTGGAACCATAGTGGTAGCAGAATGATATTGGGAACTAGTTGCCCTCAACCAGTGGAGAAGGGTTTACTTTTCTTTTTCAGTCATAGGTGGGAGATAAAATGTAATCATATTCAGGAACAGACAGATAATAAGATGGAGAAGGGCAGTTGTCCACACCAGCTCCATCATTCTCACTCTCTGCTGCTTCCAGAAGCAACCCCTAATCTCCCGCCACCACGACAGTCATTCTTATCTGTTAGTACTTGAGGCCATGGAAGAATTTGAGATAATTTTAGTTTGCTTGGACTTGAGCACAGCACGCAAGCACACAGAGGATTGGTTTCAGAATCCCCAGCTCCTAGAGCAACTCCTGGAATGCAGCAGATATTTATTGAGCATCTACTATGTGTCAGTCACTTGGCAGTGTGTTTACCATGATGGATAAAGAAGACTGTCTGTGCTTACTGAGCTTATAATCTAGGGTTTTATTCCAATCAAAGTTAGAAATCTCATCAACTTAGACCAATATGGCAAATATATGATTTCAGAAAAAGTAAGAATGACGGACTTAAAATGATTTCAAGTTGTACAAAGAAACGATTTTACTAAGTGGCCTTGTAGAGACATTCTTAAAGAGTAGATAAAGATGATTAGTGGATCAAAACAGCTTAGTTCCCGTTTTTATTGCCTTGATTTGGCTTATATGTAAATGATACTTCTAATCTGTTTGAAAATGGTTCCTTCT